GTTAATGTTCATAAGAGAGATAGGTCTGAAGTTCTGTTTTTTGTGGGGTCTTTATGCAGTTTAGGTATCAAGGTGACTGTGGGCTCATAGAATGAGTTTGGTAATGTTCCTTCTGTTTCTATTTTGTGGAATAGTTTGAAGAGTGTTCACTCTTCTTTGAAGGTCTGGTAGAATTCTGCACTAAAACCATTAGACCTGGGCTTTTATTGGATGATAGACTTTTGATGACTGCTTCTGTTTCCTTGGGGGATGTAGGACTGTTTAATTTACCTGATCTTGATTTAGCTTTGGTAAATGGACTCTGTTAAGAAAGATGTCCATTTCATTTACATTTTCAAATTTTGCTACATATAGGCTTCTGAGGTAGGACCTAAGTATTCCTTGGATTTCCTCAGTGTCTGTTGTTATGCCCCCCTTTTCACTTCTGATTTTGTTGATTTGGACAGTGTCCCTCTGCCTTTTAGTTAGTTTGACTAAGAGTTTGTCTATCTTGTTGATTTTCTCAAAGAATCAGCTCTTGGTTTTTTTGATTCTTTTGAATTGTTCTCTTCATTTTTTTTTAATTTTTCATATTAATTACAGTTTATTCACTTTGTATCCCAGCTCTAGCCTGCTCCCTCATTTCCTTCAATCCCAGCCTCCCTTCCTTACCTCCTCCCATACCCCTCCCCAAGTCCACTGATAGGGAAGGTCCTCCTCCCCTTCCATCTGACCCTAGCCTATCAGGTCTCATCAGGACTGGCTGCATTGTCCTCCTCTGTGGCCTGGTAAGGCTGATCCCCCCTCAGGGAGAGGCGATCAAAGAGCCAGCCACTGAGTTCATGTCAGAGACAGTCCCTGTTCCCCTTACTAGGGTACCCACTTGGAGACTGAGCTGCCACGGGCTACATTTGAGCAGGGATTCTAGTTTATATACAAGAATGGTTTTAATGTATTGATTTCAGGCCTGAATTTGATTATTTCCAGCTATCTACTCCTCTTGGGTGTGTCTGCTTCTTTTTATTTTTCTAGTGCTTTGAGGTGTGCCATTAAGTTGCTTGTATGAGATGCCTCAAATTTCCTTATGAAGGCACTTTGTGCTGTGAACTTTCCTTATAGCACTGCTTTCATTGTGTCTCATATGTTAGGGTAAGTTGTACCTTCATTTTCATTAAGTTCTAGGAAGTCTTTAATTTCTTTCTTTATTTCATCCTTGACCCAGGTGTCATTGAATAAAGAGTTAATCCTACCAATCTGTGAGTATGAGAGATCTTCTCAGCACCTCATGGAACCTTCTCCAAATTGACTGTATAGTCGGGCACAAAGCAAGCCTCAACAGATACAAGAAGATTGAAATAATCTCTTGTATTATATCAGCCCATTAAAATATACTCTTTTTGTCATTGGTATTCAACTATGTCATATATGTTGTTTTCTCAAACCTTATCTAATTCTCTAATGGCCTCTAATGACCACTAGATATCTTATATTAAATTTCTTTACTTTATAGATACACTAACATTTTATTGTGTTCAAATATGTGTAATACAATTTTCTATTTTATATTTTTATTCATTTGTGTGTGCATGTGTGTGTGTATTCTATGTGGTGCAGGCATCTGAGTATACAGATGTACACATATGTGAGCACAAAGGCGGGGAGGCCCTTGAATATCCCATTTTATCACTCTTCTGCGTATTTCCTGTAGCTGAAACTGTTCATTGAACTGGAAGCTGCCTCTGTGAGGCTGGGTTGCCGGTAAAATCCAGAGACTCACCTATCTCTGCCTTCCAGTTGCTGGGCTTATAGGCATGATCATCTGGGTGCTGGGCATTCGAACTAAGGTCTTCCTGCTTCAGAGAAAAGTGCTCTTACCCACTGAGTTACTTCCCCACTCCTGTTCTTATAGTTCTTATCACCTCATGTTAAGTATATAAATAAGCATTTTGCAAAAACAAAACGAATGACTTTTGCTTACCTCGATAATACTATTAAAACTTATGTAAATTTCCGCTGTTGTCAAATATTAGATAAATTTAAATATCAAAACCAAATATATTCTATTTCCCTCAAATAGTTACCTCTCAACCCCACTGAATGTTAAATAAGTTATAACTTTAGGCTTCTCTCTCCCCTCCCCCACCATTCTATACCTTCACTTTTATTTACTCTTCAACTATTTACTTTTATTTATTTACTCAGGCAAATATTATGGTGAATAATTTTTCTTTCTTGGTTCTTGGGTTTTCCTTTTATTTTTTTTTTGAGGGAGAACTATAGCTCTTTTATTATTTAAAACAATTTTAACTTTAAATACACTTTGTATGTATTTTTCCTTTCCCCAAGTCCTTCGAGATCCTTTCTGCCTCCCTACTTACCCAACTTTAAGTTCTTTTTCAAAAAACAAGGAAAACACAATGCAACAACAACCCCAAACCAAGAAAACAAAATAAAACACCACCCCAAAAGAACACACACACAAAGCGGAGTCCATCCTATGTTGGTTAACTACTCCTAATCATGAAGCCTTTCCTGGAGTGCTAGATATACCCAGTGCCACTCCATTAGAGAAAACTAATTTTTCCCTCTTCCCGCAAATATAAATAACAGTTCAGTTGTTAACCTTTACACTAGTGCCTGGGTATTCATTCATTCATTCATTCACTTTTAAATATAAAAATAAAATATAATAAGATTAAAAAAGCTATCACACTGAAGATGGGCAAGACAAACCAACAAAAAGAAAACAGACAAAGAGAAGGCATAAGAATCAGAAAGACACTCGATCTTACACTCAGAGATTCCATAAAAACACTAAACTGGGAGCTGCAATGTATGTGCAGAGAACCTGGTGCAGACCCATGTGAGCCCTTTGCATGCTGCTTCAGTCTCTGTGAGTTCATGGAAACCTTGATCTTGTTCATTAAAAGGGCCTTGTAGTTTCCTTGAAACTTTCCATTCACTCTGGCCCTTACACTCTTTGTGCCACCCCTCTTGAGTTCCCTGAACTCTGAGGGAAGGGATTTGATGGAGACATCCCGTTTAGGATGGGTGTTCCTGGGTCTCTCTCTGCCTAATGTCTAACTGTGGGTCTCTATATTTGTTCCCATATGTTGCAAGAGGAAACTTCTCTAAGGATAGATAAACGAGACACTAGGCTATGAATATAGCAGAATATGACTCTTTATGAGTCATTTTATCACTACATTTTTAAAACCAGTAATATTTGGTTTTACTTTAGGTCCCTGGGTTATTTAGTCTCAGATTTTTGGTCACCGAAGCAATGCTGGGTTGGGTCCCATCTCATGGAGTGGACCTTAGATCAAATCAGTTATTTGGTTACTCCCACAAGCTTTGTGCCACCATTGGCCTAACAAATCTTGCAGATAGTATTCCTTTGTAGATAAAGGATCTGTGGCTGGCTTGGTGGTCGCTCTTGGTAGCATGCAGAATATCTTCCTGTACTAAAGATGCTGAAATGTAGGGAAGAGGGTCCTAGGTAGGCAGCAGCTCTACATCCCCATGTTCAATGAGTTGTGTAGGTGTATTCAACAACATGGTCTTACTGTCAGATTTTGGAGAGCAAGCTATAGTCTTGGCAACAGCATGAGTTATTTGGGGATTCCCACGGAGACCCTCTGGTCTACACTTCAATTGGATATAACACAGTCCCAGTACTGGACCAAAGATGGCCATCTGGGACTTTGCCTCCCTTATTATTTGGTGATTTTATTTAGATAACCTTCATATGTTTCTATGATACTATGTTTTATAGTAGCCCTCAAATACTCCTAATTTTATCTGTCTCTCCCCTTATTCCCTCATACAACCCCATTTCTCCTCTCCCTCCCTACTTGATCCTCCCATTCCATCCCCCACTTTCCTTTTACACTTCTACATGTAAGTACTTGTGGCAGGGATGAGGTTTAGTGTTAGAGCACTTGCTGAAAGGCCATGGGTTCAACAAGAAAATTAAATGTCTAAGTTAAGAATTTTAAACTGTTTTTCTTCTACATATTGTGTTTACTCTTTGCCTATAAGCCAAAATAATATGTCCCAAATATTTTCACTGTGTTGTTTATGCTTGTCATTGTTCCTTACCGCTGTTCCTAATTTAAGTGTAGGTCTGGTCTTCGAAGTGATTCATTCATGTCCCCCCCCCAACTATTCAACCTTAACCATGATTAGAATATATTTCATGAAAAAATATTTTCAATAAAAAGGAAAATGATGATACAATTAACAATTTGTACTTCGAAATCAAGAATTTATGATTTCCTAAGGTTTACCATACTTGTCACTAATTAAATATGAATCGCTCCTCTGCATTTGATTCTGCATATGCTACTATCCTAATCTGAAATATCACTATTTGCAGCACCTCTACTGCCAGGAAGAAAACTCTTGGGACTTGTAATGTGGCTTAGTGAATAAAGACACCTGCCACCATGCCTGAACTTGAGTTCTGTTTCCAGGACTCATATATATCTTTTAGCCTCTACCACAAATATTTTTTTAAACTTATGTATTTCTTTGAAAATTTTACAATTATTTTACTATGTAAAGGTATAATACTACAATAAAAATACAAATATTTTACTAATTTTAATATAAGTATTTTACTATTTAAAAACATATTATACCTTTTAATAGTATAAAGGTGTACTAGTAAAATATTAGATAGTAAGAGGTGTATTATATCTTTAAATAAAATACCTGGTTGGTATAAATTTTAAGACATTACACTTATTGCACAATATTTAGTTTAATAAAATTATTGTATTCATATTAACAAAGTATGTCATTATGGGATATTGGAGGCCTGGAAAGAAAATTCATTTCTATTATTATTAACATCTCATTTTACAAGAAACTGTATTTTAAAAAATAAAATTACTCTTTATGGTGCTGAAAAGAGTGAAGTTTATAATGTTTATAAACATTTTAGGACTTGATTATGAAAATTATTTCATGTTTTTATCTTTGCAAAATGACTCTAATATATTGTCTTTATCTATTAGTTTTCCAATCTTTGAGAATCCATACCCAATGGACATTCATGAGTCACCAGTTACATGCACAGCATATTTTGCCGATTGCCCTCCAGATTTGATTCTAGTACTCTATTCTATAGGAGTCAAGCACAAAAAACAAGGATACAGTAACAAGGTAAATTGGTCCTGTATTTGGATGTATGGTCATGCTTTTTCTTGTCTTTTATTTTCTCACTTTCTACACAAAGGTGACTAACAAGAAACTTTGAAAGTTGCAAGATGACATTGTCAAAGATTAAACTAGTGAAATTCAATTTTCTAGCTGTGGCATAGTTCTAAGCCTATAAGATTATAAATTTCCCATAAGTGTATAATTACATACTAAGATCTATTTGTCAATCATGCTTATTTTTGTATTACATATATAAACTATCAGAGTCATAATAAGTATCCTTTAATTTTTTATATGGATAGGGTTGTATGAAATTCAAGAATCAATTCTTCATAATTTATTATTAGAAAGACAAAATTAAGCCAAGTGGTGGCGGCCGGTGGCACATGTCTTTAACTCCAGCTCTTGGAAGGCAGAGGCATTCAGATCTCTGAGTTTGAGACCAGCTTGGTCTACAAAGCTAGTGTTAGTATAACCAGGGCTACACAAAGAAACCCTGTCTTGAAAAAAATTAGAAGTACTAAATGAAAGACAAAATTATTAAAACACTTGTTGCTAACACGATATTTTTCTTTACAATATTTAAGTTTCAAGTATTTATAATTATCACAAGCTATCTAATATGGTTTCTGTTATTGGCCCAGGATAACTGTAATGTACTATTCAAAAAAGCACTAGTTATGTGCTATTCTAAATGTCATCACAAAGCTAAATGTCATCATATACTGATTGGCACATGTTACAACAATGTATTTAACCAATTAAATACTTATCTTATTAGTTTATGTGAATGGTAATATTGGTTAAAATCCATTTTTAAACAAATTGCTATTCTGCATTTATAGATCGATTTGTTTAACAAAAGGATCAATTATAACTATATACTTCATTTTTGGCTGTTTTGTAATGATGTGATATTAAATCATCTTTTTATTATTTTGTAACATTTAATTCTAAAATTCTAAGCCATTTAAACTAAAAAATAAAACCTACATATTCTTCTCAATAATATGTTTAGGAATGGCCAGTCAGTGGAGGAGCTTGGAATCTTGGAGCACAAACTTATCCAGAAATTATTATTACTGGGTAAGTAAGATGTTTTGTGAATTATAATTTATAACAAATAGTTATAACTTTAATAAAAGTATTTGTTAGGTCTTGACACTTATGTAACTGTGCTCTGTGCAGATGAATCATTTAAATAAAAATAAGAAATAAGAATCTAAGAAATAGCTTTAATTCATAATTCTTAGCTTTATGAAAAATATAATCAAATTGCTGGAAACAGAATTATGTTAAAGTTACTTTTTATAAATCTGTGTTTGTTTTTCAGTTTCTCCCTTAACACAGTCGTCAAACAAATAATTGAAACTTTTATATTTATTTAATAATAATCTTCACAACATAATACGTGAGAATACTCTATTCTTTTTTTTTTAATTTTTATTGTTTTAATACTAATCACAGGTTATTTACTTTGTATCCCAGCCATAGCCCTCTCCCTAATTCCCTCCCATTCCCACCCTCCCTCCCTCATCTCCTCCCTGTCCCTTTGGAAGTCCACTGATAGGGGAGGCCCTCTTCCCCTTCCATCTGACCCTAGCTTATCAGATATCTTCAGGCCTGGCTGCAATGTCCTTCTCTGTGGCCTAGCAAGGCTGCTCCTCCCGCGGGGGGTGGGGGGGTGGGGGAGGTAAAGGGAGAATACTCTGTTCTTAACCCTCTAAACTAATCTGGTTTCCTAACAGCACATATCCCAGAGACACTTGCACTCTGTATTCTTATTCCAGATCCTTCCCCTGAGGTCTTTTGTACCCCTCCCACGGCTCATTCCCCTACTTCCTCCTCTAACTCCTCCTTCCCTGGCTGGCAGGAAGTCCAGCCTTATTTTCTCCCCTGCTCAGTGATTGGCTGTAAGCTGCTTTATTGGCATATCAGGAGACATTTGGGGAGCAGTGTTTACACAACATTCAGACAAGAGATTCTCAGAACAAGGATTGCAACCATATATGGGGGGAGGGGATACAGAAACCAGAATTTGAATTACACAATAACCTTCTGCTTACAGAATTATACAAAAGAATTATATTTAGATTATATTAGTAGAAGAGTCATAATAAAATTATAAAAGTCAATAAAATTATGAGAGAGATTTATAAGAAATACTTTATTTGGAAGCAATAGAATATTAACTTCAGTAAAACCCTTAACAAAACATCATATTCCTCAAATTTCAGAAATCATGCTTTGTATCCCCATTGCTATGGCTGAACATAAGATGTCCTCCATAGGCTTAAGTATTGCCTTCTTGGTGTCTACCTGATAGTGTTATCTTGGGAGAAAGGAGAAACTGCAGGAGGTGGACAAACTAGGTAGAGGAAAGAGGCCACTGGATGAATACCTTGAAGGTTATTTCTAGAGCCTGGTCTCTTGTTTTTACTTTGCTTCCTTTCCGTACATCTTGAGATTAATAATTTGTTACATGCTTCTACTGCCATGATGGGCACTACTCTCCCACATTCTCCCCGCCATGATGGACCATGAACCCTTGAACAAAATCAACCTTTCTTCTCTTAAATGTTTAAACTGGGTATTTTATTCTCACAACAAAACATTCATCAAATGGCTAATATTTACTTCAAAATTCATAGCATCAGAAATGTCACTACTTTAGTATGTTTATCCTATATTATATGTCTACTCTCCACTTACAAGTGAGTATATACTATGTGTGCCTTTCTGCTTCTGGGTTACCTCACTCAGGATAATCTTCTCTAGTACCATAAAATTTCCTGCAAATTTCATGATTTCCTTGTTTTTAATTACTGAGTAGTATTCCATTGTGTAAATGTACCACAATTTCTGTATCCATTCCTTGGCAGAGGGACATCTAGGTTGTTTACAGATTCTGGCTATTACGAATAAAACTGCTATGAACACCATTGAGCAAATTTCCTTGTTGTATGGTTGAGCATCTTTTGGTTATATGCTCATGAGTGGTATAGCTGGATCTTGAGGTAGCACTATTCCATAATTTTCTGAGAAAACACCAGATTGATTTCCAAAGTGGTTATACAAGTTTACATTCCTACCAGCAATGGAAGAGAGTTTCCCTTTATGCACATCCTCTCCAACATGTATTGTCACATGATTTTTTTTTTTTTTTTGTTATCTTGGCCATTTTGTTGGGTATAAGGTAAAATTTCTGGGTCATTTTGATTTGCATTTCCTTAATGACTAAGGAGGTTGAACATTTAAGTGTTTCTCTGCCAGTAGATACCTCATTGAGAATTCTATTTAGCTCTATAGTATAAAAGAAGCTAAACAACAAGGATGACCCTGGGAAGATGCTTAATCCTCATTCAGAAGAGGAAACAGGATAGAAATCTGAAGTGGGAGAAGACAGGGAACAGGACAGGAGCCTTCCACTGAAAGACTCTGATGATCAGGGTATTGAAGCAGATGCTGAGACTCCTAGTCAAACTTTGGGGAGAGTGCAGGGAATCTTATGAAAGAAGGGGGAGATAGAAAGACCTGGAGGGGACAGGAGCTCCACTAGGAGACCAACAGAACAAAAAAACCTGGGCCCAGGGGTCCAGCAGAGACCAATACTCTAACCAAGGACCATGCATGGAGAGGACCTAGACCCCCTGCTCAGATGTAGCCCATGGCAGCTCAGTCTCCAAGTGAGTTCCCTAGTAATGGGAGCAGGGGCTGTCTCTGATGTGAACTCAGTGTCTGGCTCTTTGATCACCTTCTCCTAGAGAGTACAGCCTTGCCAGGCCACAGAGGAAGACAGTGCAGCCAGTCCTGATGAAACCTGATAGACTAGGGTCAGATAGAAGGGAAGGAGGATCTCCAGTATCAGTGGAATAGGAAGGGGCATGGTATGAGAATGAGGGAGAGCGGGGCTGGGAGGACATGAGGGAGGGAGCTATAACAAGGACACAAAGTGAATAAACTGTAATAAATAATAAGATTTTAAAAGTCATCGTTTTGAGCTTAGAAATGGTTTATCATGAATCAACATTCATCACAGTGATTTTTATGAAGATATTAACAATAGTAAATGAACTTTTTATGTATTTAAAGTGACTGATTTATTTTATATACTTTAATTAATGCTATTTTATTTTTATCTAGTCATGCTGATGGATCAATAAAATTTTGGGATGCTTCAGCAAGTAAGTGTTACACTTATCCGCATTCAGCAGAGAATATTTTGTTAAAATTTATTTATGGCCATACAACACTTTTTAATTTTCAAAATTATCATTTCAGAAATATTTTAGCATAATTATATTATATTTGTTATAAATAGATTATCTAGCATAATTTATTTTCTATATTTTAGATCAGCTTAAAGTATGTTACTGTAATTGCATGCAATAATATTAAATAAACAAGACTACAGCCACTCTTTCAGCTATCTAAAAAAATGCATGTTGAATCAGGAAAAAAATCCAAGATTTACCAAATTAACTCTTCAGGAAATTCCTTCTGTGTCTTACCTGGGTGGTGTTTGACAAATGCTTTCATTCCTCTCTTCTCAGCTTTCCTATCCCTCTCTGTAATAGTCGATGAAAGTCAAAATAAATTATTTGATAACAGTAAAGATTCTTTTTATTTTTTTTAACAATTAGGTAATTTAGGGAATAATTTATGCAGTCAGTGTGCTAGAGCCTGTAAAGTTACTTAAATCTTCATTATGCCCATATATGTCATTCACAAAGCATGTTCTTAAGAGAAAGAAATGCACATGTGTAAATACATGTCAAAATGTGAAATTTCTAAATGTCGTGTCATCAAATGCTGTTTTAATCAGAAATGGTAGAGATTTATTTGAACCAGGAAGTTCAGTGATACACCAAAAAAAAATCTCTTTTTTTATTTATCTAGTCATTTTTTGAGATTTTTTTTTTTTAAGTCTAGGTGGGCCTGAGTATGTTATTAAGAATTTTTAAAAGTTCAGGCCAACCGGGAGGTGGTGGCACACAGCTTTAATCCCAGCACTCAGGAGGCCGATCTCTGTGAGTTCAAGGCCAGCCTGGTCTACATAGGGAGTTCCAGGACAGCCAGGCTACACAGAGAGACCCTATTCAGGGTTGAGGGGGGACTCAGGCTAATTATTTTGTGGAATTTTCTTCAATTGTACTGACTACTGCTTCTTATTAAATTAAGCTGTGTCCTTTCTGCAGAAACTACTGGCTTTTGAAACTCTTTTGAAGACCATTTCTACAAGAAGAGTCTTTTGTTTTGTATGGGAAATTGTGGTCTTACTGTGTTCTGAAGTAGAAATAACTTCCCCAAAATAAATGTTGTTGAAAACCATTCATAAACCCAGAGTTTTATAAGCCTGTACCTGACCCTTTCTTAACTAAAACCACAAAGGTGAAATCTTTCCTAAAGGATCTCTGTCTAAGAAAACATCTAGAGCATTGTATCGGCCTTCTATTAAGCAAGTAAAGGGCTTATTGTGAAAAAGCATGAACAACCTCTCATCTGGGAGAGACTTATTTTCTGATTTCCATTATAAATTTTCTTCGTTCCAATTCTCATAAACATTCTTTCTCTTTCACCATATAAGTTTCTCTCTTGATACTGCTCCCATAAGCAAGCGTGTGACACTGAGCGTTTACTATGTAAACGTGACTTGCCTTTCTTAGGTTTTACTTTTGTGGTTCAACAAATATATTGAAAAAACTTGAACAATGGCGAAGAATTAAAAGCAAACTAGGAAATAACTTCATTCTGTTATTTTGTAGTGACACTACAGATGTTGTACAAGCTAAAAACTTCAAAAGTATTTGAAAAGCAGAAGGTGGGAGATGGCAAGCAAACATGTGAGATAGTAGAGGAAGATCCATTTGCTGTCCAGATGATTTACTGGTGTCCAGAGAGCAGAATATTCTGTGTATCGGGAGTCTCTGCATATGTCATAATTTATAAATTCAGCAGGCATGAAATTACAACAGAAATAGCGGTAAGTTACTTTCAATTTAACTTTCCTATTTATAACGACTAAAAGAAAACAATTATGTATTTGCACTGTTACTTAGTATGGCATTTAAGCCATCAAGAGTACAGTATATAACTCATATTTAACATAATCCATAGTATTTTTAATAATTGTTACTTAATGTCTTAGGGTTTTATTGGTGTGATGGAGCACCATGGCCAAAAAGCATGTTGAGGAGAAAAGGGCTTATTCTGCAGATCATGGTTCATCACTGGAGGAAGTCAGGCCAGGAAGTTGAGCAGGCTGGAACCTGGAGGCAGGAGCTGATGCAGAGGCCGTGGTGCTGCCTCCTGGCTTGCTCAGCCTGCTTTCCTATAGAGCCCAGGACCGCCAGCTCAGGGATGGCCCCACCCATAGTGAGCTGGTCCCTCCCCAATGATCACTAATTAAGAAAATGCCTTGCAGCTGGATCTCACTAGGCATCTTGACTGAGGCTCCTTTCTGTGATGACTCTGGCTTGTGTCACATTGACACACAAAACCAGCCAGTACACTTAATATATTAAAAAGTAGTTGGTTTTCAAATAAACAGTTGTCCAACAAAACTTCAATGTCAAAATGGCTTGTTATTATAAATTAATTTCACTAGAAATTGAACATCATATTGCTGTCTGTTGTTACATACCTTTGTATCTTTTTCATTTTGCATCTGCCTAACTAAACTGAGTTAATTCCTCCTAAATTTTAAATGTCAATATAATATCAATGTTTTTTTACTTATAAAGAAAACATACTTATTACTATAACATATAATGCCTTTTAAAGCAGGTAATGTATAGGATATCCCTAAACAGCTATATACATTTATGAATTTAATCAGATAGTATAGTTTACTTTTTAATTATTTTTTATTACTAGTTACATTTTATTAACTCTGTATCCCACCTGTATCCCACTTCCTCATCTCCTCCCAATCCCATTCTCCCTCCCTCATCTCCTCTCTGCCCCTTTCCAAGTCCACTGATTGGGGAGGACCTCCTCCCCTTTCATCTGACCCTGTTTTATCAGGTATCTTCAGGACTGGCTGCAAAGTCCTCATCTGTAGCCTAGCAGGACTGCTCCTCCCTTCGGGGGTGGGGAGGTCAAAGAGCCTGCCATTGAGTTCATGTCAGAAATGGTCCCTGCTCCCCTTACTATGGGAAACCAATTGGTTACTGAGCTACCATGGGCTACATCCGAGCAGAGGTTCTAGGTTATATCCATACATGGTCCTTGGTGGAGTATGGTCTCAGAAAAGACCGCTGTGCCCAGATATATTTGGTCCTTGTGGAGCTCCTATCCTCTCCACATCGTACTAACTCCCCCTTTTATCATATGATTCCCTGCACTCTGCCAAAGGTTTGGTTATGAGTCTTAGTATCTGCTTTGATACACTGCTAGGTAGAGTCTTTCAGAGGCCCTCTGTGGTAGGCTCCTGTCCTGTTACTTGTTTTCTCCCATGTCCAATGCCCATCCCAATTGTCTTTCTAAGTGAGGATTGATCATCTTACCCTGGGTCTTCTTTCTTGTTTAATCTTCTTTAGGTGTACAGATTTCATTATGTTTATCATATCTTATAGGTCTATATAAGTGAGTATATACCATGTGTGTCTTTCTCCTTCTGGGATACCTTACTCAGAATGATCTTTTCTAGATCCCACCATTTGCCTGCAAATTTCATGATTTCCTTGTTTTTGATTGCTAAGTAGTATTCCATTGTGTAAAAATACCACAATTTCTGTATCCATTCATCCATCGATGGACATCTGGGTTATTTCCAGGTTCTGGCTATTACAAATAAAGCTGCTACAAACATGGTTGAACAAATGTCCTTGTTGTGTACTTGAGCAAATTTTGGGTATATCCCTAGGAGTGGTAAAGCTGGGTCTTGAGGAAGCACTATTCCTAATTGTCTGAGAAAGCACCAGATTGACTTCCAAAGTGGTTGACCAGTTTATGTTCCCACCAGCAATGGAAGAGGGTTCCCCTTTCTCCATAACCTCTCCAGCATGTGTTGTCATTTGGGTTTTTTATTTTAGCCATTTTGTTGGGTGTAAGGTGAAATCTCAGGGTCATTTTGATTTGCATCTCTCTGATGGCTAAGGATGTTGAGCATCTCTTTAAGTGTTTCTCTGCCATTTTATATTCCTCTACAGAGAATTCTCTGTTTAGCTCTGTACCACATTTTTTAATTGGATTACTTGATTTATTGCTTTGTAACTTCTTTAGTTCTTTATATATTCTGGATAGCAGCCCTCTGTCAGATACAGGGTTGGTGAAGATCCTTTCCTAGTCTGTAGGATGTCGTTTTGTTCTGACAACAGTGTCTTTTGCTTTACAGAAGCTTTGCAGTTTCATGAGGTCCCATTTATTGATTGTTGCTCTTGGAGCCTGTGCTGTTGGTGTTCTGTTCAGGAAGTTGTCTCCTGTGCCAATGAGTTCTAGGCTCTTCCCCACTTTTTTCTAACCAATTTAGAGTATCTGGTTTTATGTTGAGGTCTTTGATCCACTTGAACTTTAGTTTTGTGCAGGATAATAAATATGGATCTATTTTTATTTTTCTGCATGTAGACATCCATTTGGACCAACACCATTTGTTGAAGATGCTATCTTTTTTCCATTGAATGGTTTTGGCTTCTTTATCAAAAATCAAGTATTCATAGGTGTGTGGGTTTATTTCTGGGTCTTCTATTTGGTTCCACTGATCCTCCTTTCTATTTCTATGCCAATACCATGCAGTTTTTATTACTATTGCTCTGTAGTACAGCTTGAGATCGGGGATGGAGATACCTCCAGATAATCTGTTGTTGTACAGGATCATTTTGGAAATAGCTTTACTTTTTAAAGATTTATTTATGTATTTTTTGTGTATGTGTACTTTGACTGCATTTGCATCTGAACACCAGAGGAGGGCATTAAACAGTTGAGAACTGCCATGTGGGTGCTGGGAATTGAACTCCGGACCTTTGGGAAGAGCAGTGAGTACTCTTAACCACTGAGCCATCTCTCCAGCCCCAAGTATTACTTTGTGTCTGTGTCAAATTAGGGAAGGCTTTGTCTTTTTTTAAAAAATTTAACTGCTTTATGTTTTCTCATTAATGAGCTGTCACAAATGATTATTTCTCAATTATAATAAAGTTACTCTTAATAATTTTTATACTGCAACATTTTATATGGTAAAAGTAATTATAACATTACCTTACCAAAATTAATTTTTAAATTCATTACACAAAATTCTGATTATACAAAACAATGATATTACTGTGCTGTCAACTACATCTAACTTAATATACCTTTAATTTTCCTGTCTGTCCTATATATTTTACCCCTTTTTAATCAAAATATAAAAATAATTTTTATAGGCTTTTTTTGTGTTTTTACCACAACTAAAATTGTCATTTTTTAAGAGTATATTGAAAGTTTGGGACTTGGGGTCACATGGGCCTAAGTTTCAACCCCAACTTCACTGCTGATATTTATGTGTGCGGCTCTGAACCATTTAGGCAGTAATAGAGTCTGGGGACAGTTTATTCTCATATCCATACAATTTCATGTGTGAAAAATAAAAGTAAAGTGGTAACCTTTTTGCTGATTTCATCAGGTTTTTTTATAATGGTGTTAACAGCATTAATAAGTCCTCCGTAACCAAACTGTCCCTGCCAAAGGCTTCTAATAGTTTAAATATAATTGTTATAATAAGTTTGGTAATATTGTGTGTTCATGCTATATGAATATTATAATCCATTCTTAAGTATCAAAACATACTCATTACGTTGTAAATTAAATGCTTTTAATAAATATATACACATATCCATTTTAATTTCTTTCATCGGAATAACTATCATTTTTTTTCTTTTATTTTAATCATCCACCAAATTATAATTTATTGTAAAAAATTGTCTTACTTGGGGTTTCTTATTACTATGATAAAATGCCATGACCAAAACAGCTCAGGGAAGAAACGATTTATTTTATTCACACTTCCAGATGTTGTCACTGGAAAAGTCATGGCAGAAACTCAAGCACCATGGGAACTCCCGCAGAGTGTGGGCCTTGAGGCCAGAGCTGATGTAGACATTGTGGGGGAACAATGCCTCCTGGCTCGCTCCCCAAAGCTTGCTCAGCCTTCTTTCTGATAAAACTCATGGATGGCTGCCCAGAGGTGGCACCGCCCCCAGTGGGCTGGGGGCCCCTATGTCGATCACTAAAAAAATGCCTGACAAGCTTACCTAGATGCCAGTCTGTTGGGGGACATTTTCTCATGTGCGGGTCCCCCTTTTAAAATGACCTAGTTTGTGTCAAGTTGACAAAATAAGTTTGAGAAAGCACAGGACTGTTCATTATATAAGAATTTCTGCCTCACAAATAGAATGTGACACTAAAATCCAGGCAGTGATGTTGCACACTTTTCATCCCAGCACTAGAGAGGCAGAGGCAGATATCTGTGAGTTCGAGGCCAGCTTGGTCTACAGAGCTAGTTCCAGGACAGCAAGGATATACTGGAAAAAACCTGTCTCAAACAACAAAAACAACAACAACAACAACAAAAGTATTTTCAATAATAGGTGTCTTTTATAGGTTTGAGAAATGTAAAATTATGCTTTTTCTAGATCCCACCATTGCATCCCAGTATCCAAGTAACTGTCCTAGTAAGGGGAACAGGGACTGTCTCTGACATGAACTCAGTGGCTGGTTCTTTGATCTCCCCTTCCCCACCCGAGAGAGGAGCAGCCCTGCTAGGCTACAGAGGAGGACATTGCAGCCAGGCCTGATGAGACCTGATAAGCTAGGGTCAGATGAAAGGGGAGGAGGCCCTCCCCTATCAGTGGACTTAGAGAGGGACAGGGAGGAAATGAGGGAAGGAGAATGGGATAAGGAAGAAATAAGGGAGGGGGCTACAGCTGGGATACAAAGTAAAATAAACTGTAATTAATATAAAAAAATAAAAATTTAATTAAAAGTTATGCTTTTTTTGTGATTGCCATTGACTAGTCCACATAATTAACTACTTAATTCAGCTAGAGATAATTCTCAAATTGAGTATAAGTTATTGAATTTACTGGTCTAAAAATTTAGAATAATATCTAAAAACCCCATATATTAATGTGCCTACTATTATAGGCACATTATGTTATAACTTAGACTAAATTAAAATGACTTCTTTTTAAGTCATTAGAGGTACGACTTCAGTGTGACGTTGAAGACATCATTACCCCAGAGCCAGAAACAAGTCCTCCATTTCCAGATCTCTCCTCTCAACTTCCGTCTTCAAGGAGTCTTTCCGGAAGCACTAATACTGTGTCTAGTGAAGGACCGACAAAGGACAGTATCCCGTGCCTCAGGTAAGAATAGCTACCAAGTGTCAAAGCACGTTCATCTGTTAATCATATCAATCTTACACACTGTAACAGGAAAAGTTATTATTCTCTCTTCTTAGATGAGTTATGAGAATAGCCCCTCCCCCAAAAGGCACAGGATTTTCATACTTCATTTACCTATTTTTTTTTCTCATTAGGATTCTGTAGAAACTATGGCTTTGATAAAATGGGAAGTTTAACAAGGCAATATTCTGACGTTTTTCATTTATTAGTGAATATTGCTAAATGTTTTACTCAGTGTATGTAAGTTTAACAACATAATAAAAAGCATTAGTTTATAGAACTCATAGTAAAATTTAGCTTGCTGTTACGCCTTTCATTATAGGATTTATAGGTTATTACTTTTGTGTTGTGAAATAAATGTTTCTAGTGTTTGCTGCTTGGCAAATTCAGCCTAAGCAAAGGTTTCCTCTATACTCCATATGACAACATATGTATCTATTACTTTAAGAATTCTAGATAGCTTCCTTCCTTATTTCTTATGCAAATATGTATAAAAAATTTAGAGATAAGATTTCAACAACAAAAGCTATAATTAGTAGTAATCTATGAATTTCTTCCCTAATTTTTTAAAAGATTTATTTTTTTTCGAGACAGGGAGGATTTTCAGAATGGAAGCATAAGCATGAATTAATTGGAGAAAAAATCTTCAAGCAAAAAAAAAATCATTAATTTTTTTCTAGTGAAAAACTCTTATAAGTTCATAAATATGTGATTAGGATATCGAAGAGGATGCTGAGACTCATAGCCAGGCTTTGGGCAGAGTGCAGGGAATGTTATAAAAAAAAAGGGGGGGGGGGAATAGAAAGACCTGGAGGGGACAGGAGCTTCACAAGGAGACCAAAAGAGTCAAAGAATCTGGGCCTGGGTAGCCCTGCAGAGACTGATACCCCAACCAAGGACCATGCACAGAGAGGACCTAGACCTCCTTCTGGGATAGGCAGAGCAGTCTCCAAGTGAGTTTGCTAGTAAGGGGAGCAGGGACTGTTTCTGGCATGAATTCAGTGGCAGACTCTCTGATCACCTCTCCCTGAGGCATGCAGCCTTTCCAGGCCACAGAAGAAGACAACTGCCAGTCCTGATGAGACCTGATAGACTAGCGTCAGACAGAAGGGAAGGAGGGCCTCCCCTGTTAAAAGACTAGGGAAAGGGAATAAGGGAAGAGGGAGGAAGGGTGGGACTGGGAAGAGACAGGGAGACGGCGGGGCTACATCCAGGATACAGTGAATAAATTGTAATAAATAATACATAAATTTTAAAAATTAAATATGTATATATGTACATTTATGTGCATGCATACATACACACACACACACACACACACACACTCACACACCATACTGTACATGTGACAGTCAGAGGAAACCTATAGGAATGTGTTCTCTCCACCTGCTTTGTGGGTCTTGGGGATGAATCCCCTGTCTTTCAGGATTCATGGAAGCACACTTACTGCTGAGCTACCTTGACAGCCCATTTATACTTTTAATTTTTCATCATATCACTTTAGTTCATTTAATTGAGTTCAAAGAAAATGAAAACCAATAAAAGAACAAAATGTTTAAAACAGCACTGTAGACCAATTTGTTTGCCAAGAAAACCCGTTGTTGGAGACACATCTTCTAATTACCTAGATAGTTATAAAATGTAGAATTAAAGACAAGGACGATGGAGAAAGCCAGTAAAAAAAAGGTCTGTTTATAAAGGTGAAGTTAGCATTAGCAATTATTGAAGCATAATAGAGTTGACTTGACAATAACCGAAATCAATCTCAAGGATTATTAAAATTAAAATAAAATCTACATAATTCTATATTATGAGGTTAATTCCTAGAGGTCAAACACTCAAAAAATCTAAATATTATTCTATTAACTAGATTATGGATTGTTCTTCAGTTGCATATACTCAATACTTCAGTAGGTCTTATGTTTGCTTTTGTCACTTTGTTTTGCTGAAGTTGATTATTTCTATATACATTATTTGGTAAATAAATATTTCAACTAGATAATTGTTTAGTTTTAGCAATACTGAAATTTTATCAACATATACATTTTGCAATTATTTATTTTTTATTTATACTTATTTATTTTTATTTATATCTATTATCTAAATAAATATATTTATTTTTATTTATATCTATTTGTGTGCTTAATAAATATTTATCATGGGCCTCATCAAGGAAATGCAATTGAAGAAAAAATTGGAAAGAATTAAGAGAGTTAAACAAAGACTATATGATAGAAGAATGTTCTAGGCAGAAAGAATAGCTAGAGCAAAGGCTTTGAAGTGTTTGGCATGTTTAGGAAAATAGGCCAATGCAGCTAGAGCTCAGAGAAGAGCCCTAATAGTAAGAAGATAATAGAAGTCCAATAATGAGGCATTGTAAGAACCTTGCCATTTATCTTAAGAGGAAAGTGAAGAGTCACTTGTAAAGTTTTAAATAGAAAGTAACATGATTGGGCTTAAGTTTTAAAAAAGATCAATTTAGTATGGAATTGAACATGGGCTTGAGGATGGAGGAAAGAAGCTAGAGACCAATTACTTATTGTTTCAAATAAAATAAAGGTTTTACCCATTTAATTTTTAATTGAAAATAAACAATGACTATTTTATAACATCATATAACTAGCATTGCAGTGGATACACCTTTAATTTCAAGAGCTGTTTCTTATTTATTTGAAATTTAAATTTAAGTGGACAGCCTATGTTTTTGTTTGGCAGTTCTAAGATCAAAGCAGCAAAGAAGTAAAAAGTAGTTAGCTTTGGATATATCTTCAAAGTAATACTGATAGCATTTGGTGAACAACTGACAGATATAAGATTGTAGCAGTGAAGGGAGACTATAAAGTTTTTCTGTGTAGCTAGAAGGTGAGGAGGGTTTTCAGAACAGAAGAAAGACAGAGGTGGAGTAGTTTAGAGAGCGTTAAGAGGACTGTCATTGGATATGTTGAACTTCTTGTTGGGTGGTAATTTATTGCTTAAACAGAACTAGTTTAAGTTCTGTTGCAAAAGTAATCCTGGAGAAGGAGGGGCTTGGTTGGTTTATAGGTTGTAGTCTATCATTGAGGGAGGCCAAGGCAAGCACTCAAGGTGGAACCGAAACAAAGACAATGGAGGAACTATGCTTACTGGCTTGTCTTACTACCTTTCTTACAATACTCCAGTCCTGCCTGCCCAAGGATGGCACTGCCCACAGTGGCCTGGGACTTCCTGTAACATTTAGCAATCAAGAAAGACCCCCACAGACATGCCCACAGGCCAGTCTGATGGAGAAATTCCTCAACTGAGGTACTGACTCAATTGAGAGTCCCTTTTCTCAGCTATGCCTAGGTTTGTCACAGGTTGCCAAAAATAATTATAGCAGTAATTATTTTTATTGTTATGCTTTATAATTCATGGTTAAAGTGCTATAAAAGGAAAATAATTAAAAGTACTGTCCTCAACTACAAAAGAGAAAATGTTTTCTCTGTTAAAGTTGTGAAACTGATTGAAAAAAATTCCTGAGCAAGGATATGTAGCTTGGTACTCCTGAGAGAGTGATGAAGCCTTGCCCATCCAGCATGGATACATGCTTGCCCCACCCATGTTATAGGTTTTTGAAGCATGATCGCTATGTAAATTCTCTAGACGAATAAGCTAATGTTGCATGGGGTGAAATTATGTTTTCTCTTTGTTCTAGTGTCAAAACACGGCCAGTGCGAATGCCCCCGGGCTACCAAGCAGATCTAGTTATTCAGTTGGTGTGGGTAGATGGGGAGCCGCCTCAGCAGATAACCAGCCTTGCTGTAAGCTCAGCATATGGAATGTAAGTGATGAAACTTACTTTCTGCTTTGTAGTACCTAATTTTAAACAGTTTGCAAATGCTTCTTTTCAAATATTGTCTTAAAAATTAGAACAATCCCTCAGCTCAGTTTTATTATATTGACTATAATATTATACAATATTTAAGCTTGTGCTATGATTAGTTTATTTGTTTTATTTTCCTTGATTTTATATTAGTGGTGATGTCCCTAATTCAGATTTTTCTTTTTGGATTGATTTGGATTTCTGTCCCCCCTCCCCTTGTGTTTCACTTTGGATACCTTCTTTTGACCTGTCTTGCCAAGTTCACTTCAACTTTGCCTAATGTGATAGGAGATCTACCTGTGAAGTTTGGTTTCAGTTACACTTGCAAATAGAGCAAGTTTTGGATTTCTGATGGTAACTGACTCTTTTATCCTGCTCGGAGAGTCCCGGTCTCAGTTGTAATGTACTTGCACACATCATCCATGATTCCCGTTAGTTGATGAGGTAAAAACGTGTTATTTTCTAGCCTAGTTACCTTAAAAATGGGCAAGTTCAAGCATTTTCAAGATACCCTTTTCAAAAGATTGGCCTTCAAAGTCAGGTGAGAGGACTATTAGAATTTAAAGACTATGGAGATGTGCCACTTAGTTCAGGAACTGAAGAGAATTAGATTGGCTCATTAGAGAAAACATTTCTTGTGTGAAGGAACTCCGCTGAAGAGCACATTGTAATATGAGAGTATGAGAACGACAGCTTGGATGGCTGCCTTATAGAGCTTTGGTTGTTCAAAAAAAAAAAGAGAGAAAGGAGGAAAGAAAGAAAAGAAAAAATATCTCACCTCAAATCATCATCAAAGTAAAACTTCCCAAGTATTAAAGAAGTAAATAATAATCATACAGTACCTTTCTGAGATTTATGAAAGATGAAATCTCACTTGTCTCATTTTAGGAGGTAACATAAATTTGAGGACTTTAAAAGGTTATTACCATAATAGAAAATTACAAGTCTATGGCTTATGTGAACATGAATTTAAATTTCTAACCAAAATATTAAAAAAATCTATCAAGAAAAATTATAAAATATTTATAACCAAAGCTCATTTGTATCAAGAATGCAGATGGTTTTACCATTTTAAATGAATCAAGGCTTCTGATCAAATTAACAGAATAAACTACAAAAAGCATGTGATTAGATCAGAGATACAAAAACATAAAATATATGAGAAGCTGCCCATGCTCCAACAGAGAGACCTGCACTCATACACATGCTGAAAGTGCTGAGTAGACTCAGTGTGTAAAACAACAACATAGCCATTTGGAATAATGGTAACATTATTATAATGGGAGAAGAATTGGAGCAGACAATATGAGGGGTAGACTTGATCAAACACATTGTATACATGTACAAAATCTTCAAACAATAAAACATATAAAAATCCAATACCCACTGCTGAATTTTTAAAAACTGCTAATTAAAATATGAAGACAACTTTCTTACTCTAATACACTGTAACAAGCACAATGCTTTCTGATGAAATGTTAGATATTTTGCCTGAGTTTTTTTTTTTTTTAAAGACAAATATCTTTGTATGGGCTGCTGTAATAAAACATCTTACACTGGGCCATCTATATACAACAGAAGTTTATCACTCATTTTTGGAGGCTGCGAAGTCAAGATCAAGGCTTCAACAGATTCAGTGTCTGACGAGGGCTCAGTGTTTCAGAAATGGCATCTGACTGCATTCTCATTAGAAGATACAGTCTGCAAGCTTTTTCTCCTCATAAGAAACCTGATCTCATTTGTGAGATGAGCGTCCAAGACCTAGAGACTCCTCATCTCAATGCCATCATCTTTAGGTTTTATTTTAAATATCCTTTATAATATGTATTATACTTGATAAATCGTCATGGACTATTTAAGTTTACTGAGAGATGGTTCTGGAAAAAAAAAAAAAAAGATTGGTCTGCTTCCTCATTTCAGGCCTAAACAAGTTTTTCTCAAAATGTCCTCCAGGGCCTCTTGTCTAGAGACAGGCTGGCCCAATAGCCTTGTGACATGGAAAAAAGCAACCAGAAGAAGGGTTTAAAAACATTGTGTCCTTGAGAACCACAGTAGAGAAAAACCACTTTTTTTTTTTTTGAGTTTTATTTTTTTCTTGTCAGTTACATTTTGTTAACTCTGTATCCCAGCCGTGTCCTGATCCCTCATTTCCTCCCAGTCCCTCCCTCCCTCCCTCATCTCCACCGTGCCCCTTGCCAAGTCCACTGATAGGGGGGACCTCCTCCCCATTCATCTGATCCTGTTTTATCAGGTATCTTCAGGACTGGCTGCAAAGCTCTCCTCTGTGGCCTAACAGGACTGCTCCTCCCTTGGGGGGTGGGGAGGCCAAAGAGCCAGTCATTGAGTTCCTGTTAGAAATAGTCCTTGTTCCCCTCACTATGGGAAACCAATTCGTTACTGAGCTACCACAGGCTACATCTGAGCAGGGGGAGAAAAACCACTTTCAATAGAGCTTTCTGTTAATTATCACATACCACAAAAAGTTATTCAGTGGGAGTGAGAAGCCAGAAGCTCATCCAGAAAGAGAAAGTGCAATCTGGAATTCCAGCCCACCGCCTCAACTTCCCCTAGTGGATTTCTGTGAGATGAGCTCAGAGCTCTAAATTTTATATTATCTTTGTTCTACTCCTGGATGTTCTCTTCTGGATGCTGTGAACTGAAGTGATGGTGTTTCTCTGTCGTATGTCTCTTTGCTCTTTCACTTCTGCTTGCTATAACAGTAATAAATTTACAATTTCAAAACTCAAAACATTGCTATTGTAAGTACATTTTGGGGAGCCACAGAAATTCAGATCTTAGCTTCCTTCTCCAGATCCCCCAAATGTCATATATTTATCACTTACAAAATAACCTTCATTCAACATTAACAGCTCCAAAAGTCTTAACATTTCAACATCAGCCTATAAAAATTTAAGCCTGAAGTTTCATCTAGAAGTCATCTGAATCAGATAGGCATGAAAATCAAAGTATGACTCACCAAGAGATAAACTGTGCTTCCTCAAAAGTTTCATTCACCTACTTAAAGTTATGATTCATGAGTCAGGCTCTTCTCTAACTGTGATCTTATGAAATTATATGGTTCCAAAATATAATGCCAATCATTTCCCCAACATTCCAAAAGTCATGTGTATGAGAGAAAATGGGGTGAAACATATTCAAACTAGCACCAAAATACAATGTGGAAACATTAAATCTAACGTTGGTTAATAACTTGACTTTGTGTCCCACCTTTCAACCACAATGACGCATAGCTGGACCTGAAGGTTTAGAGTAACTGGGTTGCTGGTGGAGAATAACTGATACTATCACCTTCACGGCTTTATGCCGGAAACTCCCCTACCGTAAAGTGGCTGCTGGTAGACCCACCACGCAGGAGACAGCTCCAGTAGTCATTGCCCTATAGGTGCTTTCTTGCTCCTCTGCCAGTTCCCTGGCTGGCACCCAAAGCCACTAGGGGGCAACCTTAGAAATGTAGGTGAAGAAAGCCAGCTCACTGTCCTGGAATTTGTGTGCCACTGGAGCTGGCCTGAGTTGGATATTATCAAGTTTTGTGACCTGAGTACTCCTGCTAGGCAGCTGCTACATGTCAGAGTGATTGAACACACGGTGACTGAAGGAAACGTGTTAATCCTTAGTCTCCATGTGCATGTGTGCCCTCACACATTTGGCCATGTATGCATACACACACATACATGCATCATATGCATACACAAAGATAAAAATACCCATCCTCAAGATCACAGATCAAGATACATATCCTACTTAATCAAATCGGCTACCGGAACTGTAACATTTGTCTTCTTATTAATTATGTTTTTCAGCTCTAGAATTTTTTAACAACTTTATTTAGCTTCTCACTTTGTTTCCCCTCCCTCCCCCGTGTTTGTTGAACTGTGTTTTCATACTTTTAAAAGTTTCTGTCAGATTATTGCTTAGGGAAGTGGGGAGGTGGCTCAGTTGATAAGATGCATACCATATAAGGTGCAAGGACCTGAGTTCGATCCCTACTGCCTACATGAAAGTTGAGTATAATGGTTCATGCCTGGGGAGGCAGGGACAGAAGAATCCCTAGGACTTGCTGGCCAGTAATTCATGCTGAATTGGTGAGCTCCGTATTCAGTGGAAGACCTTGTCTTAAATTTTGATGGTGTCTAAGGACTGATAATTAAGGTTGCCATTTAGCCTTTGCATGCATGTGCATACAAATACCCTTCACGCACAGGCATACACACACACAAACACATACATTTCATACACATGCCCAGTATCCATGCAAATGTCAGTAATAAAAATATAATTTTGGATTATTTCTCAGATAACTTTATTCTTTGAAATCAATTGTTTGCTTATTATTGTATTAGTTTCCTGCTTTTTCATGTTTAGTAGTCTTGCACTGGTGTCTACATTTTAGAGAGCAAGTTTCTTCATCTGTCCTTTTTTAAGTAGATACAGTGAGGGAAGACATTTACTTGTGCATGGTTGCAAAGGTACTGACTAGGTGGGGTACAGAACCTTCTGTTCAAGAAGATTGCAGTGCTGTAGTTTCTATGCACCTCTGTCCAATAAAGTCTACCTTAGTGAAGACTGCAGAAATCTTTGGCTGCAGAAATCCAATATTTGCATTAGCTATAGCATCAGAAAGTGGTTGTTTACTGTCACCATGCCACTATGCCGCCAGTATATCTTTCAGGCAGGTCACTGGTTTAGGCCACAGGGTCTGTAGCTAGGGGTGGTTACTTTTCTGATAGTGGGCAGAGTACCTTCTAGCACAATGAACACCGGTCATTAGGGGTGAAACTTAAATTAGGCACCAGCTCGACTTGTCTGTGTTTGATGAGATATTTAAGTGCTGTCTTCATCAATAGGATCTTACCATCAGTTTGTGAAAAGTAACCAATAGCCATGAAATATGGTTAATAAACACCTGTGGTATTTGTGGTTCTGTTAGGTTCCTTTGGCCAACCACTCAAAAAAATGTTACACCTTCATGGTGCCAGAGTTTTTACTTAATGATGTAAAATGTCTATCTGAGGCATTGTCTCTATTATTTCTCTACTATTTGGTAACTCTTAGATTATTTTCTCATACATATGTATGTGTGAACATATTATATATATTCTGATATCAGATTAGTATATAACCAGTCTTTGTAGGAATGGTTTCCATGTGCAGCTCTCTCTAACATTCCCTCTTAGGTTTTAGCTGCTTTTGTAAGCTTACTTCCTAATATCTGTCCCTTCAATTCTATGAAATCACTGATCTTTTTGAGTTGTTACTTTGCCTCAGGAAATGTTTGCTAAGCTCAAAGACTTATGAGGCTGTCATTCTTTTCTGACCTCTTTCTGTTGTCTACTGTTTATTATATTTAGTCCAGTTTTCTAATTGTTTAAAGTTGGTTAAGTTCAATGTCTTCACAGACTCTTTAACAGACACTTCCTGATTTCCCCAGCATTGCAGTGTGAGTTACCATCTCCTCATATCTTAAATCCAACATAAAAAAATCATTATCATTGCTATACATTCTACTTGTCAGCTTTTCTTCTGAGCATTGTAATAAAAACTTTATTATTGCTTACATAATTAGCTATCTTTCAATATCACAAAGCCTAAAGATTTTACATTTACTTATATTAAAATTAGTTTTCCCTTTTCATAGAAAACTTCAGAGTACTTAAGATTTTTCTGAATTGATTTTTATGAGAAGCTTATGAACAAAACTCATTAATTTTTCTCAAAGTTATATAACCTTTTCTGAGTCTTATAGCAATACGTCTTCTGGATTTCAAGATCTGTCTAACTGGAATATATAGAACTTCATTTGAACTAGGAAAACATTTTGAGTAGATAAAAGTTTTGTTCTGTCCTATTTTATTCTTATATTTGTGGGAATAACAGTGTAGCAGAATGGAAAGAATCAGATTGAAACTATGCATATAGTTTATAACAAAATTCAGACTAAATAATGAAAGGGTATGGAGCTTCTAAACAACATATAAGCAGTAGTCATATGGCGTGTACACCTAGTTTAGGAAGCAAAGATGAAGAATGTAACTGTTGAGCTAGACAGCATGTTGTAAATGGGCAGATATGGGAGTTAATATAACAATGGTTCAGGTGACCAAAACACCTGCTTGGGAAAGCTGCTTTAATTAATCAATTAATAAATTAGTCAAATATAATTGTCTTGTAATACATAGGAGAATGTAAGAAACAAACATGAGATGAATAATTTTTCACCTACTACGACTCAAACCCTAAATATAAGCCAAGTGTAGTGGTGTACAAACTGTCTCCTAGAGACAAAGTAGGATGATTATAGTTCAAAGAGGGTCTGGCTATTTACTGAGTCCTTGGTTTTTGTTTTTAAAGACAGATAAAAGGGAGGATAGGAAAAAGGGTTAAAAGAAAAAAATTATTTGAAACAAAACAATCATGATCTTATTTGCAAAAGACATGATTGTTTACCTGAGCGTCTGTGCCTCTTTAGTGTGCCTATTTCTTGACCTATGCCCTTTTTGCATAGGACAAAGGATTTATGTGTTTCTTCTGTAAAACCATAAAATCAAGTTAAAGACTGTGTTGCTAATCACAGCTTAAATGATAAAACTCATAAAGAAGATGATCGCAAGCCATCTCTATTTTTTGCAACAATCAGTCATGACTCCTATATTCAACTCAGTCTTTCTGTCCTATGTTAAACTGTGGGCTTATTTCTTGACTTTCTAACACTAATTACTGTGTGATGTCCTCAATCTTAGATTACTTTTCAGTAATCTTATCTTTAACTTCAAGATGAAAATAATCATGCTTATGATACATTCTAGTTCTATGTTTCTCCTCCTCTTAGAGTTGCGTTTGGAAATTGCACTGGGTTGGTTGTGGTGGATTTCCTACAGAAGACAGTACTGTTAAGCATGGGGACCATTGACCTCTATAGATCAAGTGACCTGTACCAGCGACAGCCCCGATCTCCTCGAAAAAACAAGCAGTTCATTGCAGGTAGGGGACAATCTACCTGAACTTGATTTGCTCACTTGTTTTCTTCCAGATTGTTCTTCTTGTATGATACCACTCAAATACATGGTAATACTGACTCAACATATAAATAAATGAATTTAGAAGAAACAGCAAAAAAGTTTTGAATGAGCATGAGAGATGTTTAAAGTTCAATTTGCTGTTGAAGTTAGGAAGCATCTCAAGTTTCTTAGGTTGGAAGCCTAAAAAATAAATAAATAAACAAAAAAATAAGAACCTATTAATAAGAAAACTAGGACTAGGGGTTGAAAGCTGTTTAGATGTAGCCCATGGCAGTTTAGTGTCCAGTGGGTTACATAGTAATGGGAAGAGGGACTGCCTCTGACATGAACTGATTGGCCTGCTCTTTGATCACCTCCCCCTGAGGGGGGAGCAGTCTTACTAGGCCACAGAAGATGACAATGCAGCCACTCCTGATGAGATCTGATAGACTAAGATCAGAAGGAAGGAGAGGAGAACCTCCCCTATCAGTGGACTTGGGGAGGGGCATGCATGAAGAACGGGGAGGGGAGGTAGGATTAGGAGGGGAGGAGGGAAAAAAAACTTTTTGGAATAAACAGATTAACTTTTCTCTACTTTGGTTAGCCCATTTCAAATAGAGTTTAAGGTCACTAGTCACTTTTCATTTTTTAAGTAACTATACTGTGGCCGTCCTCTTTTCTTTACTGATAATGACTAAATTGACTTATGTTTATAATATAATAAATACCATTCTCCAACATTTAAGTACTATGAAACATGGTACTTTTCTTAGCAGGACAAGCAAATTAATTCAAGTACAAGAAAAGAGAAATTTAAAGTTTAATTAAGACATGGTGCCAAACTTTGATAGTCTGAATTATCTAAAATCTTACTGGAATTTCAATATATATCTAAAAAGGTGACTTTAACATCCATAAATTTTGTATTTTTTATTATCTACTGAATGCACTAGTTGTTTAAAATTGGCTTAAAAGTTTGCTTTGATTGTGTTATTCATGTAGATAATGATTTTACATTTCCATTTTTACAAATAGCTAACTGAATATTTATACCTTTCCTAAAGATAGCCACAAAAAGATTACTTTATAATATATGGTAGTTATTATTTTCCAAATAGTAGATAGGTCAGTTGTAACATTAAGTGAATTTCCTGTTTGACGAGTGCTGTTTGACTGACCTTCTCCTCCTTTGTTGACTTTTCTCCTGTAAACTTGAACGTTTGCTCATTTGGAGCCTTACAGAGGCTCAGCATTAGTCCTTCAGAACTTGCCAGGCTTTTGTCGGGGATCTCAGCTTTCAGGTACTGTCCTGGTATCCTGGAAAGTTTAGCTCTGTGGGCTCCGCATCTGTCAGCCACTAGCTTCTGAAAAGAATCAGAGTAAGAACTTCATGTTTGGAAAAGAGGTGACTGTGAAAGTTCAGAATGTCTAAGATGGGACGATGTCAGCGTCAGGTGCTGCAACGCTGAAAGTACTGATTGCTCAGAAAAGCCGTAGCTTCCCTCCCAGCATCTCAGTTACAGCTGATATGAGGGGAAGTGTGACTATTTTGACGAGGAAAACCTATGTAATTCAAACTCATTAGGGTTCCACAATAGTGATTACAGATTAGATGTTGATATAGAGAAAAACTGATGAAGTTGAAAACTCAGTCTCTTTTATTTTATAAGGTGATCAATGAGTACATACTTAATATTAGAAAATAAATTAGAAACTAAAGTATCTAAGCTGTCCTTTTAATTGCTCAAAGATTAAATATAATCTTAGTCTTAACAAAGTAATTTTTGTATTACAAACCAAGTAATTGCACAATGGTAAAAACACTTAAGATAAACATGCCATCAAATTTACAAGATAATTTGGCTAAATAAAATGGCTACAGCATTCTCATCATTCATCTATCACCTTTCCAATTGATTTATTTTTAAAATATCTCCTCTCTACTTTGATTACCTAATCTTGCTACAATTTCTTCACCTTGGCTGTTCTAGATTCTGGTATGATATCACCTCCTTTCACTTTAGACTGTTTTCTCTCTTTCCTCTGCCTGCTGCTGATGCTGATGCTCTGGCATGTTCCAAAGACAACTTTTGCATGCGTGGGCTGTCTAACTTTTATCCTGATTTAACGAAACGGATCCGTACTTCCTATCAGAGTAAGTTCTATAAAGGTTAGGCAAATAGCTTTTATTTTTTTTAAAGTCATAATTCCTAAGTTAAATCTGTTGGTGAATGCTTAGTAATGTGTTTTTCTTAAAACACATTCAGCATGCGTGCAAGTTTCTGTTTTTGTTATGGAAATGCATTCTGATGTTTTGATCATTTTATTTTTAATTTTCATAATTTTGATTTAAGTATTCCAAATCATTGTTGTCATGTACCCACTCACTCAACCTCTGTTTTCAGTGTCCATCTCAAACCATGTCCTATTAGTCCAGTAGTCATCATGTTTCCTTCTTAAGAAGGAAGTGCTGTGGTATTCTTGGAAATAAGAACCTGACATACTGTGTCAATAATAATTCAGTGCTTTCTTATTTTGTCAGTGTTGTGCTTTGACCATTTTGTAACCTTATTCTAACCAGTCTAACAATATTCTTTTACAGTTCCTGGGGATAACTAAGTATTCCTAAATATGATGCATTTTATTAAAATAGGATACCTCAAAGCACATTTCAATGGTGATTTTAGGTACTGAACTCTGAGACATAGAAAAAGTAAAGTAATAACTAAAAGGTGAATAGTATTACCTTTTCTGTGGTAGCAAATGAAGATGAAAAGATGGGTAAGATAAGTAATTCTAAACATCGGTGCAGAAAGTGTGATGGTGTGTTACTATAGATATAACAAAACTAGTGGAATTATGGGTAAATAGTATTAACATGAAAAGATGTCTATGTTATGCTAATATATTTTGTGAAAATCGGGTTGCTTGCCACAATATATATATATGGCATTATACTTGTATAAAAACACATACACATACATACCAACACACACATTTGAACATGTATATTCTTGTTACCTGAATTTCTTCAGACATCTTCTTACTACTGAATTATACCCCATTATTAAATGTAAAACTTTACAAGTTTAATGTGCCTGGCTGGAAGCTGGTTCCTGTTAAACCTTTACAGTCCTTCTGGGGTACCCACTGTGACTTATTTCTCATCATGTTCTTTACCTTTCTACTCTACCAGTCACCCCTTTGGGGATACTGTCCACTGTTCCTGCTCAGTGACCTGTGTCAACCTTGACATCTGTCTTGGCTTCTGCTACCCATAAAGCAGGGAGAGATACTAGGATATTTCTTGACATTTTAAATTATGTGAAATTAAGTTTCCATAATAAAGTTTAACTGGAACACTGCTATACTCCTTCACTCACCTGTTTGCAGTGGCTTATTTCACATTTCAGTGGCAGGGCTGATTAACAAAAAAATCGTATGGCTCACAAAGTTGTCTCTCTGTGTACATTTTTAAAAGTTTACTAATCGCTACTCTATACCATTTTTATAGCCCATCCTATACAACCACATAAAGAGTTTGCAACTTTCCTTTTTCTTTTTTTTTTTAAGATTTATTTAATTTATTATATATACAATATTTTCCCTGCATGTACACCTGAACCCCGGTAGAGGGCACCAGATCTCACCAGAACAAGAAAATTTGAACACAGGGAACTTCCCAGAGACTCATACTCCAACCAAGGACTATTCATGGAGATAACCTAGAACCCTTGCACAGATGTAGCCCATGGCAGTTCAATGTCCAAGTGGGTTACCTAGTAATGGGAAGAGGGACTGCCTCTGACATAATCTGATTGGTCTGCTCGTTGATCACCTCCCCCTGAGGGGGGAGCAGCCTTACCAGGCCACAGAAGAGGACAATGCAGCCACTTCTGATGAGAACTGATAGACTAAGATCAGAAAGAAGGAGAGGAGGACCTCCCCTATCAGTGGACTTGGGGAGGGGCCTGCATGCAGATAGGGGAGGAAGGGTCGGATCGGGAGGGGGGAGGGAGGGGCTTATGGGGGGATACAAAATGAATAAAGTGTAATTAATAAAAGTTAAATAAAAAATAAAAATATATTTATTTAATTTATTACATATACAATATTTTCCCTGCATGTACACCTGAACCCTGGTAGAGGGCACCAGATCTCACTATAAATGGTTGTGAGCCACCATGTGGTTGCTAGGAATGAACTCAGGACCCCTGAAAGAGCATAGGTTAAGTGTTCTTAACCTATGAGCTACATCTCCAGCCCCAAGAGTTTGTAACTTTCCTTCCAGAGTTTCCAGTACATCTGAATACAATTTTGACATCCTAAAATATTTAAGAATGTGACTTTCATGTTTTACCAATTTCTCATTGTTTTACTTTCTATTATTTTCTGTAATCAACACGTGAAACTCGTATGATAAGGGAAGTATAGAGAGCAAATAAATGCAGGCTCTGAGCCTGCAGAATTCCACAGTACCAACCATATAGAAATTACTAGGAAGCTCTGAACGTTGCTGAATATTTTTATGTTCTCTCCATAAAAACAACAATGTCTCTCAGCTTTTAAGTATTTCAATCAAAATCATCAAGACTTAAGTTCCCATTGCTTTTCTATAAAAATATGCTGCTTAATCCAACTATATGTTCCCACCCTTGTGATGTTCTCATATTTCCTCTCTGTAAACGCTATGCTCAAGGTTAGTTTTCTATATAAACCTTTTGAACTACCATCTAAGCCCTCTTGTACTAGTTCCTTTAATTAAGTACCTGTGGCATACAAGATTTGTACAAATATGTTTGTATTATTTCAGTTCATTTATATAGCTATGTATTTTATATTTGTACTTTATGTGACAAGAATCTGAAGCCCATATCAGTTTAACTTAGAAATTTAAATTCAACAAATAAAAACTTAAATGTGAAATAAATTAAATTCTTTATACCCTCTACACCCAGCACAAGTTCTGAGCTAAACAAATAA